CAGATGTAATTTATAGCGTGGTTATACAGGTAACAAGTCATCAGTTTACCTAGGATCAATTAATATCGATCTCTGAACGAACGCAATTACGTGAAGTGCATTCAAGCGAATCGATACAATCGTGTTCACCCACGTTTGCTAACTGTGAACGCTCGTTAGTCGCCACCGATTGCTTTTTTAAAGGAAACATAAAGTGTGTAGAGGGAAGTTTGAAAGTACATGGACTGACTTCACAATTCACGTCACTTAGAGATCAGAGAAAATTCCCATTGTTGTAGTTACTCGCAAAAGTGTGGTCTTCCTCATAACGGTTTCAACGGTCAGTGAATAATTGAAGTCAAAACGAGGCCTCCACCTATTCAAGTACCTTATTGAATTCTACACGGGTAGCTGACTCACTGGTAGTGTGCTTGATCGCCTGCACATGCGCGTGCTCAGGTCCCTTCGTAAAGCCTTCGGAGCTAAAATATGGGCTGCAAGTTTGCAGAGTTCACGCAGATTGAACATGCAATGTTTACCTGGACCACCTACCAACCCTGCTAATTAACAATCCGTAACGACTTGGGGTCTTTGTGTGAGGAAGTGTGCGAGTACTAGTCCAACGACTGATGACGCCAACCAACGAAAAATACCTGTGAGTCATTGACACCAGATCACCATTTCACCAGCAAAATGCACACTGATATGAGCGTATTCTAAGAAATCGAAAAGTGTAGAAGTAAAATAAAAGATTGGGTCATGTTTCTGTTGGCTAGAATTTGAAGTGTAATCTACATGCAAAAGGGATATTTGGGGCCGAAGATAAACTTGGACTTTGAGGTCATTCATATCCACATATCCTGAATTCGACAATCTCTGTGTTTAATGTCCCATTTGCAAGTACTATTGTAACGAAGCCTCTCTTGTGGTTTGTCTCCCAAAAACGCCGCATAGCTAGATTCAAGAACGTCTTTGACTAAAACCATGTCGCCTTAAACCCCTGTAACACATCTTAAAGATTGGTTTAATGTTTCTCGGGCATCAGAGGTGTTTCCGGCAAAAATAATTGTGAAAAATCTAGGTCAAGTAAGTTAAAGTGCACCCGTAACCTCCTCTTTGCACGAAGGAAATTTTCTTTTTGATTAAGTGAAAAGGGAAGCAAAAGGAACACACAAACATGCACTTTGTTCTGTACTTTCATTGGGTCAAGATTAACTTAATCTCGAAAACAACGTTTAACAAATGTGCTCAAACTGGCAGCACAAAGTACATTGCATCAGTTTAACAGTTAGTCGTTCCAAATGGTTAATTGTGTGCAAAGTGTTTGAATTCGGTGGTGCATGCAAACAACTATTAATTTCTATTACCGTTTATTATTTCTGATGCTCATGAGGCGTGCGTGTAGACGAAAACGAGACAGATTTCATTTAAGCATTAATTTCGGATTTTTCCGATTGGACAAACTGGGGCTTCTACAGATTGCAGGGTCAATCGGGGATTTTTCCAGTATTTGCCAAAAGCAAGAATTTTGAAATAAAAACACTATCTAAATGCTACTGCTGTCAAGTAGGTGCACAGAACAGTCACGTTTTTAACCCGTAAAAAACTTGGATAAAGGAATTTAATTTGCAATGTTTTCTCACCTCCTATAGTTCATATTAAGACTGGTCTTAAGTCAAATTCGGTCGGCAAAAGTCCACCTTGTGTACTTTAACAGTTGGCATACTTTGAAGAAGTACGGTCGATTCCAGTAATTCGTACTGAGACCATCAAACCAGAGAAATTTCAGAAACTAAGAAATACGATGACAGCTGTCTTTTACGGTACCTGCACTGGCACATTGGTTTTCACGTTTCTGCAACCACCACTAAATCTCGTGGCTTTGTTGGTGGCAGTAAATTGTGCCCCACCTCCCACGAGGAATACAATCGTGTCATTTAACTGTTAGTTTATTGAGATCAATTGAAAACCGTAGAATGCTTTTGGGCTTAATGTCGTTCACTTCTGCAGTGGGAATTGGGGAATTTAGGTTGAAATTTGAAATTCTCCGCGTTTAACAGTTTAAAATCTTTTACTTTTAGCAAAACAGACTACAGCTTTCACCAAGCAGTAAGTAATTTTGTTTACAGCGCAATGCTCTCTGATTCGCAGATTGGATCAACCAAAGAGGGTGTATTTAAAGCCACCGTTGTCAGGACAACCTGTGGCGGATTAACAGTGATCGCGCCTGAGTGAACCCTGCTTACTGACCTGACGGTGACAATGACTCATCCCCCTTTCATTGGTTACTGTTATCAGACGCCTGTCACCCGTTCACTCATCCACTCACTAAGACACACTTGGCTGGCGTGACGCTAATAAACGGTCACGTTCTCTGTCGCCTCTCTTCTCTCCATTCTCGGGTTGTTACGGGCTGTTAACTGAAGGGTTGAAAGGTAGTGCTAGACCACAAGCCACTACAAGTCCCCTTAAAGTCAACTTGGACGTTAAAATCTTAATTGCATACAATAGCGGGTTTGCACCAAGGAAGAGAAACTCAGTCATTAGTTAGGCGGGAATGCAATGTTTACAAGGACCCTCCAGAGTTGTCAGACTTTCTACAAAGACTTCGCCGCAATATAACACAGAACCACGACTAACTTCCATTTATTGTGGTGTAAATTTTTGACATTTTAATGTAAACCGCGTCTTCAGATAGCCAATGTCTTTACCCAGACCAGTGTTCACCTGAGATCGTGAATACTGACATGTTCTTGGAGAACTGGACGGAACTCAACACTTTTCTCGGGCATCCAGATTCAAGACCACGGGCCTTGAGTGGAGAATGATTAATTCGATCCAAAATGTCGAAGCACTGTAGGCGTTCTAGAACCGGTCAAGCCAGTCCTTCATGATGGACACTGACATATTATTCCTCTGCTTCGGTTCATTTAAATGCCAGTTCCACTGACAGCAGATACCATTTTTCAAATGGTATTTTTACTGCTTGGCGCCTTGATTTTTGCTCCAATTTTTCCACTAATGTACACCTCGTAGAGTCGATATTTTATTGCACAAGATTTAATGCTCCGAGTTCCAAAGTTCGATTATTCTGGTTGTAATGTTCTTGTGGTGGAGCTACAGGAAGTGTTGTGAGATACGGTAGAACGTCCTGACAAGCCTTTACCAAATTTTGTGCATTGCCACGATAATAACTAAAGATTGGCAATATTGACTACTGTCAAGGAGTAAGTAGAATTGTATCAACTTAAGCAGCCACAAAACTAGATGTGATGACGGGCAAGTTGGGACGTATACTGCTGGGAGATAAGCGATCCCGATGATAGGATCGGTTATTTCGATAATTCATACGTAGAGAGCTTGTGCTGTGAATTGAACCAAATCAGGACAATCAAAAAATAATCGATGATCGCGTCCTTTTGAAACGCAAATGTGCTTCATCGATTAGGCTGTCATTGTCTTACGTGAGCAGTCAGAACGGATTTTGACGGTACTTACATCCGATGGCATTAGCTCAAATGTGTATCTATTTAGTTTTGAAAGAGATGCTCGCCTAAATTTCAAGTCTCTGACTAGCTCTTTGTCATTTCGATCAGTCATATTTGCAAACAGTAGCTGTCCACTGAAACCTTCGTTACCTCGTCAAACTAGACATATCACGGTCAAAAAAGCAGTTGTAAGTGCAACCTGGATTAAATTCTTAAAAGTGGACGTGTGCAGACCGTTAGGTTACATTTAGCAAACCCGCTTAGCCAGTAAGTCAGTGGTGCCGGGAACGTTGAGCAATACAGTGGGTATGGGGCAATGAATGTGACGTGATTGGCTCCATTAATCAAACTATGAAGAACACGAACGCTGGCACATTTTGCCATGGCAAATTACAATACCAAAAACCCACACACAGTTCATTGGCGCAACCTCCGTTGTGATGCTACGAGCAGTTTACCTTTAAGCGTTTATTGCAGTGGCACAACTAACACTTTCTGGTGGGGGCTCCACCAACTGGTCCAAATTTGAAGGAATCAATCAGTGATTTTTTACACAAACAAGCCACCTAACCGTCCGACTAAACACGCACACATAAGCTCAATCGGCAATTTGTAGTTCATTTGATAGAACCGAAACAACTAATTTGAATTCCCTCCGTTTTATGGATTCGCCCTTTTGACAGATGCCGCATTTGGGGTCAAATTTAACATAAAGTGTCGGATACAGCAGGTCAGACACGTCTCACCTCTTTGTCAGTGTACAGGACAAAGAAAATGCTTGGGGCCTAGAGCGTTGATTGCCCAACAAGACGCGACTTGTTAAAAAAGCTTCAAGAGATTCAATCCACACCTGGATTACCAACGCTCTGATCAACCTACTAAACTTGGCGACTAACCCAGCGCCACTTTGGAGCCGGATCATCAACACACAGCTCTCGGCAAGTGTATCACACACACACACACACCGGTGATTCACAACCACTGCAAGTGCATCCCACTTGATCTTTGAGCTTTTTAAGAATTGAAAGAAATTCACTTCGGTGTGCATCGCAACGAAATTGTTCCCTTGTACGAGAAAGGATTATTGACAATAAATCCGCCGTCTACAATGACTCCATGGTACATATGTGACGAACCGGCTTTCACTACAACTAATTCTGCCTAATTGCATCAAAAATAGCGTCCTATCGATTTGGTGATTGGCGTATCGAGCTGCTTTGAAGGAACCACACAATCGATTGAGACGATTGGCCTAAGAGGCAACCAATAATAGGCCGTAAAAGGTAGGTGGAAAAGGATTTAACCGACATCCGAGGCACGGTCAAAATTGAACGTGAGTAAAAACATGACAGACTAGAAGGTACAATAACGAAGCTAGCATAACATGGGTGAGATGGTGGTTTGTATCTGGGGGCAACGGTGCAAAAACAATACTAGGGACAAGCAAAGATATGGGTGGGGGGGTGAAAGCCCTTAAGGGATGCGATATTTCTCAGTTCGGAGAGGGAGGGGGTGGGTGAGTGGGTGGGTGGGTTAGCGCAATTTAGAGTAGATGGGAGGGCGAAGTTTCATCCGGATACACTTGAGAATCACCAGTGGGATACAGCTCACAGCGGTGATGGCAAACACCTTCCACACGAAGTTCAGCGTTAGCAGAAAAGCTTGATCTACGAGAAAAAAAGAGGAATGTCATTAAATGGTCAAATGTAGAAATCGCGAGTAAACAGCACATGAACTTTCCGCCCAACAACATCTACTAAGTGTACCTAGAGTACAGACTGAATGGGTTTAATGAAGCAGATGGTAGCTAAACGCCCACACGGAGTCCATAGGACTTACCGAAAAATGACTTGAAGACAACCAGAGCGACCACGTAAATCACGAGACTGGCTAATTCAGCGATGACCATCAAGAAGTGCCAAGTGCGAATCGTCAGAGCCACCATGAGGAGCTCGGTGAGGAGGACCGAGGTGAAGGTGATGGAGACCACGTGGATGAAGTCGGTGTCGAAGAGGACGAGTGCTCCGTACATGATCACCCCGCCTATAATGAGAAACCAAGTCTGCAGGAGAACAAAGGTTTCGACTAACCTCGTCTGATTGGAGACAAACCTCACCAGAATAACAATGTGCAACATTAGGACAATAAGTAAGGCAAAACCGGACAACGGAAAGCACAGACCTTAAGGGGATCACTGATGTGCATTGACCAATAATTTACTCAATACATGATACCATTCGAGATGGCTAAATATAGAACAGGAATACTGGTTGCCGTAACAACTCCCAAGGATGTTTAAGCAGAATGTGAAAGGTGTATTTGTTACTACCGAAATTATCATTCCAAGTCAAGTCTACATTATGGGGTTATTAGAATATCTAAGCCAAAGCTCTTCGTAACAGTTATTATCAACTTTGAGCTTAAACAAAACCGATAAAAGTGGGGATCTTGATAAGCAGCAGAAAATGTGGCAGTTGAAAGTGACCAGAAAACCGATCATTCGAGTTACCTTGGTATATGCTAATGACTACCCAAATAAAGAAGGTTTTGAAGGTGAGCTCTCGTCCCTTCGCGAGGTCTTTATAGAGCTCTGGATAGGTCATCGCAATTGAGTCGTCCACGTCCTTGTCCAGAACCAATGAGAAAACGGGAAACATTGTGAAGATCGTTGCGTATCCCACCATGAGGAAACCCGGAAAAAGAGCCACTGAGACAAAGTAGAAGATGGCGGAGAATACGGCCTGCATTACACTGATGATGAAGCCTAGAACAAATGCGGAAAAAGAAGTTTTGTGTTGTAGGCTAAAGTGTACCGTCATTGGCGGACGACGTTATGACGGCGGAAGAGCGGTCGCCCAAAAATATACCCTTTAGGGGCCAACGGGACTTACATCCTACTCACTTCAAGTGCACATGATAGAAAATTCTATAAGCTCAAAATAAGTCACATTCGGAAAACGAAATCGAAGGAACTGAGTTGCGGAGGTAGTGCAGCTGAGTTTAATTGTCTGGCCTACCAACAGGCGATAGTAACGAAAAAAAGTGGTCACAAGAGACGAGAGCACATTGAGTTTCAAAGTTGGTGTACACGTACCTCGGTGAATAATGAATTGTGAAAGCGACGCCGTGTTCTTGTAGGTGTTTCTGCCGTGCACAAGCAGGAGGCGTGCCACGTGAGAGAACTGGGTTATGCTGAAATCGGACGCGAGACTGGCCTGTCGCCCCTCCTTGCCAACAATGCCGATGCCGACGTGGGCAGCCTGGATCATGGAAACGTCGTTGCCACCGTCGCCGATAGCGGCCACAACGGCCTTGGTGTAGGTCTTGAGGAGCTTCGCAATGCCGGCCTTTTGTGTGGGCGAGGTGCGGCAGACAACGACAGCAGGGCACTGGCGAATGAGGTCGAGGAACTCGCATTCGTAGTAACGGAGGCAAACCTAAAAGCGGTTGTGCACAATGTCTAAGACATCAGCATAGCAAAGCCGAGGTGAGCATGGTTCAACTAATTGGGGTGCCTATGTCTACGCTCGTATCAACCAATTTATCAGTCATTTTGCAAAAAACTACAGAATTAGCAGCAATAAATCGCCCCATGTTGCATTTTCGACGACAAAGACGGTACACTCAAAATAAATTAACTGTAGAGCCGGACACTGTGGCAATTTAACTGAGGCGTCGGAAAAAGAGGGTATTTAGCGGTGAAAATGCACCTCCAGAGATGAGCCCGTAATGACGAGGGGCATGTCGCTGCGTCGACGGAACGCATTCAACTCCAAGTGGGCCTCGGACCGACCCGTGACGGGCTGAAACACATGAAGAGCCTGGCCGTGTGGCACGAGACGCGAGGACTTGGCGATGCACTCGGCCGTCTCCAGCTTATCCCCCGTCAACATCCACACCTTGATGCCGGCGTTTCGAAGCGTCTCCAGAGTCGGCCGCACCTACGGAAGGTCAAAAGACCAGTGGAAAGAAAGAATTGACGACTTGAATGCGGACCTACAAGCTCCTGGGACATATGAACGCCAACCCAAAAAGTTATGTGTAATGAAAAATCGTGAAGCAGAAGGAGGAAAACGGTTATCAGCTCCCGGCGTGGCTGGCGAATACCTAACATACTCTGACACAGCTCCCAATTAAAATAGTTTATCTAATTGGTGTGGAAGTAATGTCCTATACTACTTAATTAACGCCCGTGAGAAACTGTGGTTGTTGTGGTTCATCCAATTTCCCTTCTCTTATTGGCGGATCACACTTGGACGAACGGAAGAACAGGAGTGATTGCAGCAGCGATGACCTAAACGAAACCTCGAATGTACGTTAAAGCCATGAACTTTGTTACAGCTTGTCATGTTTTCATACCGACACACCAACACAGGCCACAGCTAACTTCGCTGTGCATACGCTGGTAGCAGGCCTCAAGTTTAGCAGCCCTGGTGAATTTTACAGTCGACTAGTCAGAAACAATTTGCGCTGAAATCAACTCGGACATGTCAATTGACTTCAACGCTGGAATACTTCGCTTAGGCTATATTTTACCCCAGTAGGAGTGGATGAGGGAGAAATGTTTCAAGGGCGAGCGATTTACTGAAGCTCGTTCGTGAGGGTCGCGCACACACCCATCGCTGACAATTCAAGTAAAAGTGGACAGTCGTATTGGCTTCTTTCTAAAAAAACTCAGACAAGATGTAAACCAGTGGCTTTGACAGCCAGACAGGGGGTCCAACAATTTGTAAACACACACGCACACACACACATGTAGGGACGAGAACGCAGCACGTAAACATAACTAAACTTTAGTTACCTAAGCAACACGAACTACGCACACATCATACACTGGCGTGTTAAAAGTTTACGAGACTTTGTGGCACAAGCCTACCCCTTCCTGGAGTTTGTCTTCCACACCAGTGAGACAAAGGAGCTGCAGATCGCACTCCAGAGTTGCCACAGCTGCTTGAACTTTGGCTGCGCGGTCGGACACGCTCATGGAGGCCTGGTGGTACCTGCAGAAGATACATTTCTGCAAATCAGGATTTACAGAAAAGAGCAGAAGATGAAGGTTATCTTAAGCTGACGTCAGCAACTGTTGAGTGAAAATATGTCCTGTTTCTGGCACGCGATCTACCAGCGCTGGTACACAACACAAAGTACGCGGCGAAACTCAGATTAGACCGAATGTGGTCAGGAATAATAGGCAACAGAAACAGGATGGGCAGAAAGGAGGCAGTGCAGCTTTCGCCTAAGTCATCAAACATGGCAAGTTGGCATGACAGTTTTCAACCAGGCCACTACAATGACTGTAGGAAGAGTATAACCAATGGATAAATAGGAATACTACAGAGCTTGAATTGCGACGCTTATTTTAAGGGGAAAAAATTGTTGTTGGTGAGGGAAATTTCAAAAATAATTGACCAATAACTGCACTGCCACGACCTGGGATTCAATGTGGAAAAACAGGGTGGTAGTAAATTATGCGAGGAATAAAAGTAGCTCAGACTGAGAAGGAACAAACCTTGAGGCGAAGTCGGCGTATTGGTCCTCAGTGAGCATGCGATGTGACACAACCAGCGTGCGGAGGCCCTCACGAGCCAAATTCCCCGCCTCGTCCTCCATCCAGGGCGTGTACTGCACCAAATTGGCCATCACCGTGTCAGCGCCTTTCACGTAGAAGTGGATCTGCTGGGTTTCACGGTCGCGCACCACGATGCCCATGCGCTTGGCCTCCGACGAGAAGGGGAACATCTGCAGGATGTCGTATGCTACCGTGGCTCCTGGAAAATAACAAGGCACCCCAGTGTGAGTCAACTTTACGATACAGTTCCCCTGTTACAACACAGTGGCCAAAATGTGCAAACAAAAGGTGCGCCGTTTGTTATAGGGGTACTTAAACTAGGGTTACATTGTGATTGGCTAAATGCTCTCAATAACGCCAAACCATATTCTAAGGCAACACTTTTGGGTAACGCTGCGTACAGATTTGCCAATTACAGCTACTACATTCTTTCAACCTAGACATCCCAAAAAAGGCGTAAAAAACATCCTCACCATTAGGCAGTCGCAAAACCATCAGTTGTTGGTCTCGATGAATAAGTGTCACCCCCACTGAAGCAGTCCACGACACCAGAGCCACCTCATCAGGCGAGCTTGCCTGATACCCAACGGGCTGTGCGAAGGTGTTGAAATCGCCCGCGATCGGCTTCTCGGCGCTGCCCTCCCTCTCATCGTTCATGGGGGTCACATTGTGGCATATTGCGATGGCGAGAACCGCCTCAACCAGCCTCTCATCACCCGTCTTCCGTAGCTGCTTTCCTGTGCCCATAAAGTCCCCCTCTTTTGTGGTGTTTTCGTAGTAGCGACTCAGAGTCTCGATCAGATCGTCCATGGAATCCTGCGCGAAGGCAACACTGCCCAGGTGGAGTTTCTTGAAGACCATTTCGTTTTGAGTTAGGGTGCCGGTTTTGTCCGAGAGGAGGTACGTGATACGGCCGAGTTCCTCGGGGATCGTGGTGCTACGCACGACGCAGCCAGGCAAATCCTTGTCGCGTGTTATCATGAGGGCGTAGACTATCTTCGCCATGTCCATATTCACGCGGAGCCTACAAGGTAAATGACGAGGTGATCTCAGAACGAGCGACTACGATAAACCTAGATTGGAAACACAGGAGAGTGGACAATCCATAAAAAGGATAATGCCAAGTAGTGGATCTGGTACAAATACGCGAACTAATTAAAAAAAAAACAGACATTCAATGTACGATTTAATATAAACAGACATCGGGTAAACAAGGCACCGGTTGTGAATCTGCACATACGCTGATCCCCGCTGACTTAATGTAAGTGGGAGGAAAAGCAGTGGGTCAGGAAACGAGTGACTTTATCGCAGGGTACGAAGACCAAAAACTTACGCCAAGGGTATGATGTAGGAGAAGAGCAGAAAGAATCGCCAGTAGTAGATGTACCAGGCACCCCCGAAGCCCTTCAACGCCACCATTACCAGAGAGAGGAGAACAACAAACACGAAGAGCAGTTTGGCTATGTTGTTGATCTCCTTGTCAATGTGGCCCATCTTCGTGTGCGCCTTGCTCGAATTCATGACGGCGCGAGTCTCCGGACCACAGTAGATGACAATGCCCGCAGCCGTGCCCGTAGCAAGCACCGTATTCGACCAGAGAGTCTGATCCACACTGAGTGAGGCCTCGTTTTCCTGGTTCTGGGCATCGGCCAACACATCAGTTCGAGCGAAAGTGCCTTCGAAGCTGTGTATGCGTTGGTTGGGTGCTTCCGCATAGATTTGGGCCTTAAGAGGGTTTTTCCAAAAGACAGTAATTTAAGCACTTGCTTAACGGAAAACCGAAATGTACGGAATAAAGCGTAAAATGGCACAACTAGTTTCAAACTGTTTCAACGATTTCTCAAACATCTAAAATTTTTTTACCAACAACATGAGCTTGTCAATGCTCCCACGAATTAAAATGTGTTAATCTTGCAAAATAATGGGAGCCTAACGCAATCCACTGAACAACAGGTGGGCTACTAATCAGTTACAGAGAGCTGCGTGAAATCACAACCCTCGTTGAAGAATTCACCTGTATGTCAAATAGTGCTTCCGGTCTTCCGGCAGCGTGGACAATGTTCTGGGTAACAGGAACGGCTGTTCGCAGCTTCCAGTCGGTCTCACCGTCCAGTTGGTCGGTTCGAATAAAACACGAACCATCAGGTTCGGACGTCCATAGTAACACCATGTCAGCCGGAACCCTTTGGTTCTTGTGTAGCAGAATGATATCACCCACCTAACAAGTTAAAAGGAGCAAAAGGATTTGTAAAAAAGAATTGCCGATAAGGAAACCGATACGGTGTTTAGAAATTTGTTTAAGTAAACAGGAGTTAAAAGTTTTCTACAGCTTGTCTAATTTGTCAACAGTTAATGGGTACTACACTGAATGTGAAATTCTAGTGGGTGATCAAAGATTGCCCCAACGACACGGTGTAAGGAGGGGGTGACGAGTATCAATAAAGCGTCAGGTCAGAAGGGTGTTTTCAAAGAGTGACAGACATTAGGCCCTGGCATAAACACGCACACATGAACTAATCTACCGTCTCGGATATAATTTGCCATTCAAGTAATGGTGCATGTCTATCACATAAAATAAACGACCCAAATTCTCTATTGCCTCAGGATAAAATGACATTTCGGGTTGTTAAAGAAAATGAGAAGGTGCATCGAGATGTCAGTAATGGGCTGAAACTGCACTTGAAAGTAATCGCTCAACGCTCGGTCGATAGAACAATACGTGAGACTGTCATAGCACACTAGACAATCAACGGCACACATACACGCATACTCACATAAACGTAGGCAGCTTTTGCGCGGCACACATGTGCGCCATATAGCCTATTAGTACATTAAGTGATGACAGTGAAATTAAGGGGGCTTTTGGTACAAGTTGACAAGACGTAAGGAGGGTATTTGGGAGGACAAAGAATACGACACGAAAGTCAATATAACCCCGATGAAATTTGAAAAGAAGCCTCAATAACATAACACGGATCTATTTAAAAATACAATTAAATGCCCAGGTGCCAACTCATAAGAAGCTACAAAGGCTTGGATACAACAAAGTTATCTTTCTAGACGTTAAAATACACAGTGTGTTCACTGAATAAACCAAAATCACTCTAGTGCCACAGAAATCAGCATTAATTACGCATAAAAACAGCAGACAACAGAAAGCAAACCCACCTGTATTTTAGCACTAGCCAGAGTAACTCGACCACCACGGATGATTTTTGTGTAAAGCGCATTGTTAACCTCACGATCTCGCATCCACCGTCGTATATCGTCAACAGCTTCACGAATCATTGTGACCGCAATAACAAAGCCAAGTGGCGCCCAGTAGGTATAAAGGTATCCAACACGCAAAGGGTCGATAAATTGACTGCACGCCATTATTAAGAAAATCAGGTTAAGAAACACACTGAACTGCTCAAAGAGAACCTGTGAAAAGCAAAACGCAAAAACAAAGTCAGCAAACGAAATCAACGATTTTTAACAAGGACAAATGAAGCAAGCTTACATAGGGTATAAAAGAAAACACGTTGTACTTCTGATTTCGAATAACATTAGGAGGAAGTTTTTGAAGCCGTGTTGGTCGCCCGATGCAAACAACACGCGAGTGGTAAACCTTTTTGCGTCGACATTTGGAAAAACAGGAACCACAAGCCCTGAAGAAAAGAAAGACAGCATATTGACAAGAAACGTTCTATACGTCAGCAAGAAACCCAGACAACGTGCAGCGTTGAGGGGCGGATGGAAGAACAATATAAAAGCAGATAATAATTCACGGTAGCATTAACCATCATGAGCACCAAGATTAGGCCGTACAGAGTGGCCATGCTCAAAATATTAAGAGCTAATATCGTAGAATGTTAAATTTCACAAAAGAGCTTGATTTTAGAAACCGAGGACTTTAGCGCAAGGGAGTCACGAAGACATTTACCGAAGGTAGTTTAACGTTAAGAGGAAATACTATAAAAATTCAGGCTTTCCGCAAAACAAAAATTACATTGAATTAACTTAACAGAGTGTATAATTAACGGAAAAAAAAGGCAAAATAAGAGCAAAAACAATTTAAAAACCGATAAACCGTTGCGTTTAAGGCATCCCATACTTCAAAGGCAAATATTTAACAATCAATATCACAAGAACACCTACGACTTTAAATGTTCGCAATAACGATCATAGACACCAAATTTTACACTGTTGCGACGCGAGGAAAGCAATGAATCCCGCGAGGTAGCGGGCCTCATTGTGATTCAAAATGGCGCGCGCTTTGAACAACAGCAAGTGAGGAATAAAACGTAGTCGGTTTAAACAAAACACAATTGAACTATTTATACCTATAAAGACCTACACGCACGTAAAACTTGCACCCGAAAAACGCGAAATAATTAAAGCTTAGACATTCAATCAAAAATTAGACATTATTTAAAGGCGGAAACCTAACTTCTGAGAATTCAAACAATTAGGCACAAAATTCTGGCATCTAAACACTTCCACACACACTTAAAAACAATATTCAGCTTTACGTTCTCCACTTTAACAGTACTAAAAGGCCAGCATTTTCTGCAAATATCAGGATTAGTAATTTGTACCAAATAAATACGTGCAACCTCTTATCATTTCAAAACAGGCTCTCAAGTACTTCATTACATCCTCGCTGAATTTTCAGATAAGGTACAAATTTAGGGTACCAGACTTAGGGTTAATGCAGAATTCTCAACACAACCAATAATTCATTCGAAATGTAAACAGTGCGTTCTAAAGAGAAAAAAATCGGCACAAGGAAATAGGCGACTCATGAAGACGCAGTAGAATGGAGGCCAGGTGTGCCAAACGGCGTTACAAAAACCGGAGTCCTGATTTGATCAGATTGGAATGTTTTATGTAACCCTATTTAAGCCATTTGACCAATCACAAGGTGCCGTTTCGGATGATAACCAAACGGTAACCCTGCAAACACAATTGAGTTGCGCAAATACTCATGTACTAAATCCGAGCTTCCTCTGCGAAACCGCGGCAAAAAAAATTGTCGTTATTGCTCGACCAAATGAGTGACCCGTCCAAATTGGCAAAAGGGGAAAACATCTCCACTCGGGCAATAAAAGTGGAGCATACCAAAAATTTGTAGCACGTTAGTTCAACTGTGGCATATTTTCAAGACCTAAACTTTCAGGGTAAAAGGTATGACAATGAGATACCAAGTTAGCGCACAAAATGCAACAGCCAATGTTAAACAAAAACACAATAAGAAGTAATTAATATATATGAACATTACATTCGTAAAAACTGCATCTGTGTCGAAATATCCAAAACATTTTTTTCATAAGAAGCAATCGTTAATGTTTAGAGAAACCTGACAAGTGAGTGAGATTTTAAACAATATTTTCGTGGCGTTAAATTCTCAAAGAGATTGCAAAAACCCTCAAAACGTCAAATGAAAAGGAAAGAAAGGTCCGATTTTATTTATCCTATTAAGTCAAGCTGATAAACCAAAGTTAGTAAGAAAATAAACCAACCCAGAAATTCTCTAGCAGGTATCAGCTGGACATGCCTGTTTGTTTGTTTATACTCTAGGTCAAATGGTCTGGCGCATTAATGCCTTCAATCGTGAAATAATAGAACTAACATTGGAAAGTACAATTCAAAATTTACAGCCACAGTTAATATTTTAACAGGATTTAACAAGAAAGACTGAAAATATTAACAGAACTAGGTTTGCAGTGAAATTAGACAATTCACCTGAAGCAATTATTTCATTATTATATTTTTCGAAAAATGACCTACGGATACATACATTCCAAAAACCTCTAAAATTATCAAACGAGAATCGTATCATTAAGAGAGGTGGTTGTTAGGACGTAAGGCTTATTTGAAAGTACCAGACAGCAAGAGAAACGGAGCAAAATTACTGACACCGGGATGGAGGGTTCTAACAAGGAATCGGCTAGCAATTTAGCTAAGCTACCTCTTGCACAGGCTGTCACGAGGGGAATTCTGTGAATTTATTGCGATAACACCGAGAACGATTGCGTGAGATTTGGTCAAAAATGAGTCGTGCGAACGGGTCTTAACAGCACTAGGACCATACAGGGGGAAATTCGCGTGTAGGTCTTGACGGCAGTAAGTTGAAAACCAGAACAAAGTAATACCTGACATAATGGGTTAACAAATCGATTATAATTTTAGGCTATTTCATTCGACGAATTCAGCGATATCAGTCGACGTTTCAGTGAAGGACAATTCTGACCGACGGCGTTGATGTTGTTTAACAATTCAACAATTTGGAAATTTCACTAAGCAGAATAAGGGATAATGAGAGTGCTTTAGTCTATAAGAAAGACCATTATACGTAAGCCCACGGTGCCCATAATATGGATTGAAAATGTGCATATACTGCTTAAAAGAAGCTCTATAAAGTGAAGGTAAGATACCACTGTGAAGTTTTATTTAAAAACGCAACTAATTCGCTTCGAAGTTAGTTCCTACTCAACCGAATGAAGATGTCACAAGCACCACAGGAGACCGTGGCAAAAATGTAGACGTATAAACAAAAGTAATGGAAAACGAGGACCCATAGTAGATTAACTAGCTTACAACTGGTGAAAAAAAAACGCAATACATCTCCCCCAAGACCAACGATCCACAGCCTGTGCAAACAATTGACTATGCAGGTGTTACATCAGAGCATTTGAGGACGGTGGTAGTGGGTGTCATTGAGAGAGGCCTCTCGAATCTGCAGCTCACGTGATGCCTCTAAATACCCAATATGCAAGTCTGCCACACACACACACACACACTTCGTTATTGAATGTAAATATGGAGGTCGAGTAATGATGGGAAAACAGGTGAATCAAATAATCGATAAGGTTGAGGAAGCACTACAGCAGAAAACAAAGACACAGACCGTGATACTAGTGGGTTTAAAGTTGAATCAGGGTTGCCGAGGTTCCAATCAGCAGCGTTTGATACCAAAATCTAATTTGCCGTAGAAGTAATAGGTGTGGGAAGTTGGCTAGCGATTCACGTGACTCAGAAAAATGATAGAAGACTGTCACTATTGAAGTAAGCAGAGGTACAAGATGAAGTCCACCTATTTAACACAGGCGTTTGCAAGAACACACAGCACACTGAGAAATGTTAAAAACGGAGTTTGTGTGAAAGATAATAGGGAAAAAAGCCCACTACTTCGCCTCACGCAATGACAATGGAGTCACTAATGACTATCTTGATGGGGCACAAGCCCACGCACGGATGGAATGTCAGGGAAAATTTAAGAAAAAATGCAAATAATGTTGCCACCTAAGAAAGGTAACCATGGAAATAAAATCAACTACCACGTAACAGGCCACGTGAAAAAAGAGTGAAGAACTTGCCACATTTTTTAATCACTGCGTTGTAAGTCAATTTCGGAATACCACATTACTGAGACCGTTTGGATACTAATAAAACCTTTACATTGTTGCCTTAGCAACGAAGGGTGGTGTCCAATTAGGTTCTGCTACCAATAGCGCAACGTAAATATGAGCGTTGGCAACTGAGTTTAAGCGATTGGATAACAGACGCCCTAGCCAGGGGGAAAAGTGAGTATACAACGAACATTCCGTATAAAAAAAAAGTCGAGGCATTTTATCCAGTGGTCATTGTCGAAATACTAAAATGGAGCGAGAGTAGACAACGGGTAGAGTTCTGTAGACGACCGAGCAACACAAATTTGACGATGTATACACTGTAGTCCAACTTAGGGGATAAGACATGTGCCAATTCAAATTGAAACAGCTACCTCGTCATTTTGAAAAATGTCAATTTTCAAATCAGCATCGACAAAGGCATGAGTCGAATAGACTTTGCAGTTTCAAAATCCCGATACTATTAACGACGGAAATTTTATCGGCACATTTAGATCTTGGGCAGAGCAAATGACAAGAGGATCCAATCCTGGGTTGTACGCAGATCACTTCATTGAAACAGGAAGACAACCAAGACAACCAAAGCCTTATAACAAAGCGGAAGTATAAGTGGTGATGGCTTTGTAGTAGTTCGAAACTCGGTAAACTATTCATGGAAAGCGGCATAGAGTCCGTGAAAAACTGGTCCTAATTTGAATGGGATTGTTGGTAGTCAAATATGCAGACAGTGACTTACCCCGCGGCAGATCCACAAAGGCCTTTTTTGGGACGAGAATTATTGTTGGAGAAGTAACCGGGCATACCAGGCGCCTGGCCGAGCATTTGCATTCCATGCTGGTGCTCCGAACTCGAGTTGTCAGTGGAGGAAAGCTCGCTTGACCGTCGATAGACATCCTGCCCACCGTTGGGGTGTGCACGCAAGTTCATTTCATACTCCTCTTTATCAATATCTGCCATGCTAAAAGTTCAATAAGTAGTCTTTAGAGTAGGTAGTGACGACCGCTTAACAGGCTGTGAAGCAGAGGGTGCAGGCTAATCATGGAAGTGCGTTGGCTACCTCCTATACACAAATAAATCAAGAGGTAGTCTAAATCAATAGTTTTTTTTAAGATTAGATACAAGACTACAGAGTAGATGGTTACATAGGTCGACTATTTTGATGCGAACTAACAATACGCAAATTTAGCCCTTCCGAGTGTGAGTAATTATCACATTTGAAAACAATTATGAACAGGGCAGTTGGAGCGTAGCTGAACAATTATTAGCAGAAACAATTGCTTGAAGAGCCTCAGGACAATCCGCGCCATAAATTTGGAGCAATTTTAGACCTCCGTTGGCACACTTCCACCACAAACACAGACTTGAGTTAAGAAAAGCCCTACGAATCAGTCAATGTGGTGTTGACAAGTTGCTTAATAACTTCAGGCATGCATCACGCTGATTTTCACGACCTATAATCTCATAATCTGCTATTCAAGGTGCTCAAAATATCATTTGTGGGTAAAAACGTTTTCTTGGTACTGGTTTTAACTGAGAATGCAAAGCATACACCAGCTGGCACAACCCAACTTCTAAAACTCATTCATAAAATTACTCTACAAGGGGAATTTTGGGTACACGAAGTTAATTTGGCCGGCTTTTCAGAAGGGGTAACACAGTGAGTAATCGAATACTGGACTCGGAAAAATTTGCCGGGCATTTTCGACACGAATTATAGACATTTTAAGGGAATCCCACCAGCAAATAACTGTCTAGTTCTTATTTGAGAAAAATAAAAAAATGCAAGAGAGAATAAAGTGGGAATCAATTGGCGATGATAACCACCTCCATGTGCGGGAGAAGGAGACTGCGAATTCAATCTGTCACTACAAGACGAGTACAAAATGACTCAAGGGCCGCTACAAAGCTCGCTGTACCATGGCGGAAGTACGCAATGTATAACACTGCTAAGTCCCAAACATACTAACATTGGCCACAGAAAATGGCATCTAAATATTTATCGATCGGAACGATGTAGCTCAGTCACGAGTTATTGTCTACACCCAGCTCACTAACATTCACCACAAAAATTGTAGGCGTAACGAAAATGAGGGGGCGTATCTTCAATCAATAACGAAAGGGTAAAGCGCAATAGCATTGCAAAGTATTATTGTGACCACGATCGATTTTTTTTAAAAAAATTAATCCAATCAGGATCCAATCACTTTCGCGTTTATATGATGGCAAAAAGCATCCGTCACTACACGAAAGCATCTGCACGCTTAAGAATCATCCTCTACAAACAATAGTCTAAGTTTATGGTTAATTTCCTTCGCATGTACTTTGGAACAAATTTGTGAAAATTAAAAAAGGATTTGTGCCGAAAATAGGAATTCTGCGACTCCAGTCTAATAAAGTATGAACGGAAAAGCAGGCAGTCAATAGATTAGATATTTACCTCCATAGTGTTTTGTATCATGACAAAAAAGAAGGAAGTGGCTTTGGTTATTACCACGAGAAGGTAAAGAAGTGGAAAACAGCGAAAGTGTAATTGTGTGGAGCAACACCATTTCCTGGGGATATGAAGCACATGGCATAGAGAAACAAAGCATTGTGTCCCGTAAATAGACATGAACACAATGAGATCCATAGTACTTAGGCACAGTATTTAAGTACAGTCAGCTCTCGCAACAACGACAGAAACAGAAGTAAACAAAGGAGGGAGCAAAACAGCAACCGAGAAGAGAAAAAATCAACGCAGAAAACTCTAAGTGGGCTTACACTTCGAAAATAAGTGGATTTCGTGGTCGGCGAAAGCCCTTCATCTGATTGTGAATACCTGTGTGAGAGGCGAAAGAACAAGAGGCATGGCTTAATCAAATACTACTACTGCAACATGGAAGGAAGAAATGGGGACTAATAGTGCGCGTGTTTATTCACAAACACACCATATAGCACCACAAAAAATAAAAGAGAATAGTTGGGATTTAATGGCATTAAGGTACACCCAACGGCTGAATCATTTTCCTACAAGATCAGGGAATTAAACGCAGCCACAACAGACGCAAAAGGTTTTAATATACCCATCATCAAAATAACCGCAATATTAGAAAAGAACTTCAAAGTATAACGAGGCCACAGCAGTTAAAATTAGGATAGGCTTAATCAAAAGCGATTAACGTAAGCACAAATTGTAAATAGAACAAGAGAGCTGAAACTTACATGCATACTACCAATCAAAATAAAGATCGATGACCTCAACATTTAAGTGATAAGTTTTCTAAGACACTTGCGAATTAGTGCACATGAACATAGATTATTTTTCCCCTTTAACTTTGTTTTCTGTTACTAAAAGTGTTTGCAAACAACGATTTTGATTTTTTTATCCACTCGAATTCGTTGTCTAAATGTACGGTGACATGTATAAAGGAGCAACAAAAAATATCCGTATCACCTTTTCACCTGCTTGCAAATAACTGCAATAACTGGCCTAGTATTTTGCAGATATATATAACTGCATTTATTTACAAAACGTGATC